AGCGGCAGCAGCAGCAGCGGCAGCAGCAGCAGCGGCAGCAGCAGCAGGAGCAGCAGTAGGAGCAGCAGCAGCAGCGGCAGCAGCAGCAGCAGGAGCAGCAGCGGCAGCAGCAGCAGCAGCAGCAGCAGCAGGAGCAGCGGCGGCGGCAGCAGCAGCAGCAGCAGCAGCAGCAGCAGCGGCGGCAGCAGCAGCAGCAGCAGCAGCAGCAGGAGCAGCAGCGGCAGCAGCAGCAGCAGCAGCAGCAGAGACACTAAACCCAACCAGCCACAGAAAGAAGACCCAGACCCAGATCCAGACCCAGACCCAGACCCAGCAGACACAACACAAGGCAAAGTGACCACTGCGCCCAACGAGCCACTGGGAGATAACCCTCTCTTTAACTGGAAATTTCTTATCTTCGTACCAGTCTTGCTGGTGGCCCTCCTGTTGCTGTGTTGCTGCTGTTGGAAGTTGTGCCGCAGGAAGGTTAAGACCTCTGCCCACCCTTCCCTCTTGCCCTGGCTCCCACACATATGCCCCCTCTTCAAGGAACAGTATCAAAGCACAGTATTATAATCCAGCCTGCTGGCAATTTCCCATCTGTTCCAAGGTCCTCCTATCATCCAGGACAGACCCAGACTCTTAAGTTTAAAGCCCCAAGCCCGAGACCAGCCTGGGTTCTGAGAACTCTCCAGCCTCACTGAAGTAGGAGTTCCATTTGAGATGCCTGGGCTATGGGCTGAGGCTGGCCCTGGAGAGAGGCCATCCCAGCACCCTCAGACCCTAATCATCTTGTATCAGCTACACATCTACAGGCCTCATGTCGTCAAACCTCAGAGGTGCCCTGTGTGTCAGAACAGGATCCCAGTGGTCCCGTATGCAGGGTGATGCCTATCAGACACGATTAGGTAGGGCAGAGCCACCCTTGACACCAGCTCCTTTCCTGATCCCGGTATATCATACAACCCCATACTGGGCTGCAGAAGTACAAAGAAGAAGCAGAGCCACCCTCCCACACCGGGGGCTGCTGCTACTGTTCAGGGGGAAATGCACCCATCCAGAGACGTAACCAGAGCTTGGCTAAAGCAGAGCCAGAGGCAAAGATGGCACTGGCATCCTGGGACGGGGTGTGAGAAGGCAGAAGAGCTGGGGAGCTAGGATGGAAGGAACCCTCCAGAGAGCTGAAGGAGGAGGAGGAAGTAGCAGCCCTGGGGGACAGCATGCAACATAGAGCTGCCAGGGCCCACTTCCTCTCGGGCACAATGAACAGAGAAATCTGGGAACTAAACCAGAGAGTAAGGAGGCCGCAGGATGAAGGCCGCGGGCTGAACAGGAGTGAGCTTCTACCAAGGGGAAGTGTGGGCTCCACTATAGTTGTGGTGGGACTGATGAGTCACTGCTCCAGTTGTGGGCCTCTCCAGGGACCAGAACCTTGGTCCATGTGACCTCCCCCTCCACCAGAGAGGAAGGAGGTCTGCCTTAGGCCAGGTAGAGCCTACTGGACACAGCACCACAGGCAGTGGACACCTACATAGGCACCCAGAGGCCTTGTTGTCTCCCTGTTCCAAGTCAGGGTCCCCATTGACGGCAGGGCCAAGGCAAAGCCCACCCTTCCCACTCCAGCCCACGTCTGTCTTGTTTTACATTCCAGCCTAAGGAGCAGCCGCCACCGCCAAAACCAGAACCAGAGAAGGTGAGTTGGGTAGGGGAAGAGGGTGACACTGTCACATGACATCATGAAGTCTTCATGAGGCATCATGAAGTCTAAGCCCAGAATTGCTCACTACTTTGGCAGTGAATGGGTGGAATGCAGATCAATGGGAAAGTCACGGGACTCAAAATAATGTCACCCAGATAACACCAGTACCAGACTCCCTGCATTTCACAATTATCAGGGCTTTGGTGACCTGCTACACTGTGTGCAGCTATCCATTGATGAATTGGTATCTTTCAGTGGATCCCACAGGACTCCCTATAGAATACCAAGGACACAAACAAGTTCTTAGTATAGGAGCTGCATGCATCAGACCCAGGTCCCTGTCTCCGGGCTCAGAGCCTTTGGGCTTCTCTACTCCTTGTCTGTCACCTGCTGAAAGGGTTTCACTGAGGTCCGCCTAGGATGTCCAGAACTGGGGAAAACAGAGGATATCCTAACTGACCGTGAGCTATGAGAGATGTTCCCAGCTGAGCAGAGGGACCAGATGGGGAAGCAACTGTGCCTTCTTTGGGGGTGGGGACCAGAAGAGGTAACGAAAGGCCGGAGCAAGCAGAACCGGGACCTGGGCCTGTGCTGGAGTTGGAGCGGCTTTTCTATCCATGTGGGACAGTGCTAGCTGCAGAGTTGCCCTGGGAGCTTGCCCCTGTAAAGGTCAGAACCTAGTGGAGGAGAATGTCACCTGGCATTGCCCACCCTCTGCACAGCCTCCAGCCTAGGCTTCTGCCAGCAAGAGTGGTCCCAGGAGAACCAAGAGCACAGCAGTGGGCTCTTGGCATTTGGGGAAGCTCAATATCTACAAACCAGAGGGGCTTTCTTGGCTGTTCTTCTCACGGAAGACCTCCCGGGTGTGGGTTACAGTCTTCCGTTGGCTCCACGACATTAGCTGACTGACTCCCCAGTGCAGGGGTATGTAAGGTATGGTGTGCCCCTCCCTGTTCAAGAAACTGCAGGCAGGACACACACCAGCCCTTTCACTTCCAGGATCCAGAAGAGAACCCCTCCCCTCCTCCTACATCATCACCGGCTCCTCAGGTCCCCCCTCCTTCATCTCCATCACCTGTCAACCCAAGCCCTACTGTGATCGTTGCCTGCTGTGGCTGTGGAAGCAGAGGCATCCAGGTGAGTGGGGAATGGGCATGTTGTGACCCTAGGCTCAGCTCAGAGGGGGTGGGCACAGTCAGTCGTCACGGCAGAGGTCTGACTGTGGACAGGGTGTGGGACATGTAACACTTTACGTCTGAGAACACCAGGCTCCCTGTCTTTCTCCCACAGCTAGAGGGGAGCAGCACACAGGAGGGTCTTCCAAGTGCTTGCAGCCCTGTTTTTGCAGGTTCTCTGGACATGGCCACTGTGTCCTGTCTTGCCAGTCTCTGGTTCCCATGTCATTGTCTCTGCCCAACAATGTCTTTGCTGTCCCCTTAGTTTGTGAATGAACGAATCAAGATGTATTGGGTATATCTTGCAAAGTCTGATACAGTAAAAACAAAAAAGAACAGTCATGAGTTACCATCTGTCCACCAAGAACTGGCCAAACACCAGTGGCCCTGGCCAGCCAGGACCAAGGCTCTTCCTATACAAGAGGAAGAGCTGATTGAGTGGTCTTAACGGACACTGAGGTGGACAAAAGATGGAGGTAGATGACATTGAGTTCTGAGGGGGCATCACAAACTTCCCATGTGGAACTGAGCTCCAGGAGGCCAGCAGCCTTTCATCTGAAGCCCCTCCTTCCAGAAGGTCCAGGCCACCTCAAGAAAGGGGGAAGACAGACAGCAGCCCCAGGTCCCATTATGGAGAGTGCAAGAACATTGCTAAGGAACAAAAGAGCCCCAGTCCCTTCGTGGCTTTGTAGTCTTCCTCCCTGCCCTGCCTCTATCTGTGGTGGGCCCATTGCTCCCTCCAGAGAGCTTCTAAGTCTTTGGCCATCGCCAAGGACATCTGGAACCATGCCTGCCCATTCCCTGCCTGTGAGCTACAATGAAACCAACACAGGTCTCCTAAGAGGAAAATGGTCACTGCCAGTGGCCTGGCCTCCCTGGCTCATCCCCGCTCACTCCATAGGACCCAAGGACTCTGAGCTGTAGAGCTGAGACCATGAGGTTCTCTACAGTTAGGCCTGGGGTTCCTCCAGCCCCCTCACCTTCCTTTACCTGGGCCCATGGGGCAGCAGACCCTGATTGAGACATGAGCCTCTTGCCTTCCTGACATATGTGGCCCAAGTTCTGGCTTCTTCTCTCCTCCCAGGCCTTCTACCTAGACACTTCACAAAACCCATAGCTCCCCTGGAGGCCTCTACTTGCCACCACATACCCCTCAAGCCTCTGAACATCTCCAATGCACCTTTTTTCCAGATTGTTCTAATTTCTATGTGCCCCCCAGTGCCCACTCCAGACACCAAGTCTTTAGACTGGTTCCTCTTAGGAGAGGATGGGATTTGATTTCTTGTGTCCATGTTGACAGAGTTCTAGTGAGTGCAGAACCCAGTGTTTTTTTTTGGGGGGGCAGCTCCCATGCCCTTCTGCTTGCTCATGGTCCCGTATGTTTTTCAGGAAAACCTGGATCCATGCTGCAGTTGCTTTTACCCAGGATATCACCAGATACCGATGATGTGGTGTCATCCCAAGGTCCAGGTGAGCTAGACACAGGAAAACTCCAGGGCACAGAATGGCCATTGCTTTTGTATTTTGAACTTGCAGTGTTCTGGATCCACGGTTTCACGTGAGCCATGCACTGGAAAGGGTGGGTTTTAGCTGAGAAGGCTTCCTTCATGGTTTACTGTGAATAAGTGGTGGGAGGGGCCTGAAGTCCCCTGTAAGGTACAAAGTTAAGTGAGTGTCAACCAGCACCTGTTGCTCCCTTCAAGGCACAAAGTAAGATGACCACTGCTGTGCCCTCTGTGGGGACAAATAAAGGGATAAATAAAGCTGGGAACTGTTTAGGGCAGTGATTCAGTAGGGGTTGATCTGGGTCCTAAAGCCTCCTGCAGGACAGTCAGCTTGCAGCACTGGGCTTGTAGAAGTGGAACCAAACACTAACCCAGCTCCCTTGGCAAGTTCAGACAGGTTCCTGTATGAAGGCACTCTGGGATGCTCCACCAGGCTGGTCTTCTGCCTGAGCAAGGAATTACTGTCTAAGCGGGACCCACTTAAGAACATTCTGGAGGCCTTAACCCTAGTCTAGCAGCAGGGAGTGGAGGTTGTGGTCTGGGACCCTGCTCACGCACCCTGCCTCCCACGGTAGGCCACTTGAGTGTCCCCTGCCACCCTTCCCGAAGGCGCCTTAAGGCACAACCTCACCTAGAGAAAAGCAACAGGAATAAGATTCTGGTGGAACTGGGTGTGCCTCTCCTCCCGCTCTGTGTCACCCAGTGGGAAGGATGTCCCTGAGCTCCTGACCCTGGTTGGGAGTGGCGCACAAGCTTGAGGACTCGAAAGGAGCCCGCTTGTTCCAGTCACTTCATAGGCTTCCGTGCCTCAGCCAGGGAATTCTTTACAAGTTTCAGTTTACCGCAAACCTGGGCATTTATGGAGGAGAAGTAAGTGGCTTTTCTGCCTTGAACTTTGAAAGAATGAATGTCTTCCCCAAGGCCTTCCACTTCCCAAAGGAATTTGTCTAGTTGGCACCATCTCCTTCATAAATATGCACAAAATCCAGTCGAGTTTGTGAGTCACATCCACTGAGGTCTGGGTTCTCTTCAGTCCCTGCTTTTGTCTCTCTGCTTGTTAAACTGGTGGAAATCTGGCTTAGTATATACAAAACTGTGAAACCTCCCCCTGCCCTGAACAGAGTATATGCGATAATGACGGGGTGTTCCCAACCCCACTCATCTTTCCATGCCTACCCCCTCCATCCAGGAGCTGCTTGGAGCCTGGAAACTCATTTCGTTCTCACGACTGCCTCAGAGAAACTGTAACTTCCGTATAGATAGCCGTGGTCTAAGGACTTCCCATAAGCTAATGATGAACCAAACCAATAACTCTCTTGTTGGGAGGAAACTAGAAACCCTGCAAAATCAAGAAACCTTTCATCAGTCATGGTCAGGAGCCAGTCAGACCAGCACCCTCCATGCATTGTGTGTGTGCCTCCTTCTCTGTCCTGCTGTCTTCACAGCTGTGGAAACTGAGGCCCTGGCATTTAGTTTGGGGCTCAGCATGGTGAGGCTGTTGAGTGGTACAACCAGGTTGTGAACTGACCCTTCCATCCAAGCTCTGTCCCAGGAGTCAGGGTGTCAGGGTGACCAACAGAAACATTTGGACAGCACATCTTCTAGTACAAAGTGTGATGTATGCAAAGTGTTTATGAATATTCATATCGCATGGGCCTTAAAGTGACTATTTAATGCCCAACATTCAGAATGTTCCTTTTTGTTCTTGAAGTTTACAAACAAACAAGATAGGAAAGAGCCTAATTATTTACAGACACACGTAAACAAACCAACATGGAGATAAGAATTTCCACAGCATCTAAACTGTGCAAAGGAAGCAAAATTATTAGACCCGTAAAGCCAAGTGTGAATTCACCAAAAACAATTGTGAGGTCCTTTGAAGTCTTTGCAGGCATACTTTACGTTCACAGAAACCAGATCTAGAAACAGTTTGTAGAAAACTACTCACAGTCCTGAGGTAGAGGCCAGATTCTTGAAGGCAACTTACTTAAAACAGCTGAGGGAAGGGGGACTTTTCTGATACCAGTCTAATCAACAGTCAGAGAAATTCTCCAAAAATAATGATTTACTTGGGAAATGTTTTACGGCATTGTGAGATGCTCCCACATTCCAGAGTGGGCTGTGCGCATAGAAAGAATAAAGGGAAACTTTAAAGGCCAAAGTAGAAGGCTCACACAAGTTACTCTGAGCCAATAACCTTTTGTCACAAGGAATCATAAAAGAACAATAAAGGATCAAGAACAAAGGGGGCAATGGCACCAGTCCACACTTTGGAATGGGTCACTCATGGGCAGATGTCCTTGAAGACGTATGCTTGTGTGTAAGGGATTTAAAAGGCAACGTATCTCTAGGCATATGGGCTACAGGTTGCTATGGAGCTACTGTGTGTACACAGCCATTGATGTGAAAACCTTGTAAAGATCTTCAGGCAGTGTGGGTCCTAGTAGTGTTTTGTGACAGTTTTTCTATATGAATGAAATTTCCTCCTTCATAAATAATCACCTTTTCCTATTTTAATTTAATAAATTAAAAAAATTTATTAAATAAATTTTTTAATTTATTTAATAGTTCCTATTAGGACTTGACACACCTGACTCCAGGTTGATTATGATTTGTTTTGATTCAAAGGCGCATTGACAAGGCCAGCACTGCCAGCCGAATCCTGATTAAGTCCTCACTCTACCACCTTAAGTTAAGCAACTTTAGCTTTCTGACTCAATTCCAGGGACCTCTCTGTGACCTTCTGTGTTTGTCCTTCCCCCAGGGGAGATGCACCAACTTTACTGTCTTGAGTCCCAGCTGCACACATGCCTCCTGCAGCCCAAAGCTTTGCCTTCCTTCCAATAGAGACTGTCTCCATCTCACAAAACCATCATGCTCCTCAAGGATTGTCATTCAACCTAGCGGGGAGTGCTTCGGCATCTCACAGGGATCCTGCGGCCCAAAGATCTGCCTTAAAGCAGGCCAAGAATGTCTCCCTGTTACACCAACCCTGTGCTCAAAGGTGTGCCCACCGAGTCAGAAGTGCTTCGCTCTCGACTGCTCACAGTCCTCATGCCCAAACAGGTGTACCCCGGCTCCCTCCAGGATGCTGCCTCTGCTCCATCCCCATACCCGTCAATCTGTAGAAACCCTTTGTCAAACCTACCCTTGCCGTCCATCCTCTAAAGAACCAAAATTCTAAGTTGAAGAGGCGTCTGTTTCTTGTGTTGGACATGGGTACCAGGTCTTAGATTGTAGCGAGAAAGCTACAACTGGCTGCTGATCCACAGGTTCCGTATCTAGGGAGATGCTCGTCGTCTGAGGTGAGATTATGCTGCATGTACCAGGCAATGCCCACTTGTCTCACCTCCTATAAGGGGATTTTTGTGGGCTTCTTCTCTCCATTACATAGCATTGACCTCCAAAGCACTCACTCAAGGGATTCCTGTTACTACCCCAACTTCCCTGTTTGGTACTGTCCTTGACGGTCACAACTTGGACTATGTACTTGAGTCCCATCTTTTACCTGGATGGGACCTGAGCCTCTCCCATACTTCCAGTCTTCTCTGGCTTCTGTCAATCAAACATCTCCTCTGGGAGAAGTAAGGGCAAATTGAAATAGAGGTTCCTGGTGACAAAGTGTGAACTTAGATACCCGGGATTCTCTCCTATTGCTAAAGACCTGTGCTGCATCAAGACTGTGACAGGCACAGGCGGAGCACAGCAGACTGGGTTGCTCCTCCTCCCATTGCCCTTCCACTCCCCTTCCTCCCCTCCCTCTCTCCCCCTCCCCCTCCCCCTATCTCTCTCCCTCCCCCTCTGCCTCCTTCCCTCCTTTTTTCCTCCTTCCCTTCATTCCCATAGCTTCTTTTTTTTCTACCCCTTCATTTTGTTCTCAACTTCACTTCCCAGCAGGCAAGTAGTGAGGGGTTTGTCATGTTTATTGGTCAGGATTCTCCAGAGCAGCAGAAGGGTATAGGATCAGCATGGGGTATAGGAAGCAGTTGACAACACTGTCTCCACTGGCTCAGGAGGTGACAGAGAGGGAGAAGCCCTGTAAGTCTAGCCAACTTACAATGAGACCTCAGTGTGTTCTATCCCCCGGTTATACCCGCATGGAAACCCCTACCCTCCCAACATGACATGAGACCACAGAGGGTGACGAAGTCAAGAGAGCAGGGTCCCCTCAGTGGGTTCCATCTGCCCTATGAGAACACCGCCAGTGTCCCCACAAAGAGCTACAGAACTGACACAAGTCTCCTCAGCTTTAGACTCCACCCTCCTGAGCTGTGAGCAGTAAATTTCTATCGAAGCCACTCAGTTTATCACAGCTGCCAGAATGATCAGACTCAGGGGGAACCAATGCGCCTGGGGGACCTCCATCCATCTTTCAGGACGGAAGCTTCTAAAAGGTGACAGAGTCTAAGAATAGTGAGGTGACACATGGGGGTTGGGGGGCGGAAGTCAAGGGTCACAGAGAGGTCATCCTCATTGTAACAATACCATAGGGTGGCTAAGTAGTGACCAGGCCTAGAGACTTAGCCCTACCTGTCCCATCTGGCTGAAACTGAACTGAAATATCCATACAGGCTGGGCACTTGGTGACACGGTTGGTGCCTTCTGGCCGTAAGACTTTTGTCCAACATCAGAGGAGAGGGTCCCCAGATAAAAAATATCTCAAATTATAAAGAACTCTATTTCTTTCTTAAATCTCTTAGATAAAACAAAAAGCTTGCTAAAACACCACAGGGCACTTCAGAATGCGCCCCCAGATTGCAAGTGTATATCTTCCTTGTCAGCTGAATGCCCTTGGGAAGGGGGGTTGGCTTTAAGAACGTGACCACAGACTGAGCAGGTGTCTCCAAAGTGATCTTCAAGGTACTGAGGAACCTGGCCCACAGTCTCCCCATGTGTGAGTTCTGCTGTTCCACATACTTCGTTCCTGTTCCCCCACCCACCTTTCTTGAGATCCCCAGGAAGCAGAGAGCTGTGTGGGCAGAGAAGAGTCCATCAGCCTGTACCCACCCAAGCAGAGCCTCTCCTACCAGAGAGAGCCCCACCCCTGCCTGCCGCCTCCATCCTACAAACTGGCCTACATGGACAACGTGCGCATGGCCCAGGCAATGGGGAGCCTGAAAGTCCCATTAACTGTGTTCAAGAATCTGGCTGCGTATGAACTCATCTCACAGACGCTATAGTAGAATGAGCAAGACAGGCACAAGTTCAAGCCAGACAGGGTCCCAGCACTGGAAGGGGCACAGACTCCCGCCTCTGACTAAGATGATATCTGCAACTGATACCCACCGGCAAAGGGAAAATCGTTCTTCTCCAGTGGGGTGTCACTATGTGAATTATCACACTTTTGGGCAGGCCATACTCCTAGGAGTCACTGGGCAAATGCAAAAATGCTCAAACATGGACCTGGTATGCGTATGGTATCCTTTTGTTTCGTTTGGCATATTTTTCATCTTATTGGTCCTTTGCTTGCTTATTTTTATTTCTGTTCTTGTGGGTGTGGGTGGGTTTCTTGGATTTTTGTTTTGTTTGTTTGAGGAAAGATGGAAAAAGAAACAAGAGGTTGAGTGGATAAAGGGAATGAGGAGGATCTGGTAAGAATTGGGGAGGAGAAAACACAGTAAAATACATTGTGTGAAAAACTTCAGTTAAGAAAAAAATGAAACATGGGTGTGTGGTGTCAACAGCATCATTGTTGCATTGGTTTTCCTGAGGTGCCTTGACCGAGTACCTCAGACCAGGACCAAAACAGCAGATCTTTCTCTGGAGGCTGGATATCCCAACTCAACCCTCACCCATCAGCTTCCTGTCACATGTCAAGCATATGTCCTCACAGTGACCTGGGGCACAGCCACTCAGGCCAGGCTGCAAGGTTGTGAAGGAAGGGACATCATCCCTTGGACAGATGAGGGAGAGGTGACCCCGGACTCACCATCCCTGTGACAGTTTGGGGAGGTCAAGGACACCAAGGCTAAAAGGCCAAGGTTCAGCTCAGGAGCCTAGAATTAACTCAGGAGTCTCAAACTCAAAGGCATAATCCCTGTGACTAAAGTTCCTGCAGTTTTTTTTTCCCTGTTTACTGTGGCCTGAAGGTCTCAGGAAAGGGAACCCAGAGAGCCATGGGCCTGGTGGGACTCTCCAGGCAAGGAGGAGGCCAGGGCTTAGTTATGAGGTGAACACAGGCTGCATTTGTGGGAGCTGTGTCCTGAGGATAGAGGGGGCTGAGAATAAATATACTCCTGCCTAGGCGACTTCACATTTTCTTCATTCTGTGCCCAGAAGTCCCAGGCGACATTCTGAGATCTGGGGAATGAGGGCGAGGGAGCCGGTGTTAAAGCCACTATTCCAGAAGGGGGCGCTCAGAGCTTACGTTTGCCCACTATACCAAATTCCACAAACCAACTACAAGGCAGACTTTTGTTCCATCTTTTAGCTGGTGTTGTACTACATTTCTAATTGTTGGAACTACTTTCCCCTTTCTAGAGATATTTCCTTAAAGAGTCGAGAGTCTGGAGACGCCTGGAGCGGCCTATGGGGCTCCCCAAAGCCACACATTTCCCAACCAAACACGCATTTCCAGCTCTGAACATAACCAACTAGGGCCCATCATCCTCCCCCACCTCAGCCAGTTCTTGAACCTGGCCATCTGCTAAACACACAGCTCAGATATGCCCTTATCAGCTCCATGGAACTTTCCAATGTGTACATTCTTTATATACATACTCCCATCCCATAACTGAAGTTTATTTTAGCCCTCAACCACACCTGCATTTTCTCTCCAGTGCCACCCCTGAGTACAGCTCATGGCCCACCCACTCTTATTACAACATGCTACGTACGTGTCTCTGATTTCCCCCCCACACACACACACACTCCTCATCTTCTTTTAAAACAATCTCATTCTATAGCCTAGGCTGACCTGGAACTCATTACATAGGCCAGGCTACCTCAATCTTATGAGAACCCTTCTGTTTCCACTTTCTCAGAGTTGAGTTTACAGATCTGAGCCACCACACCTGTCTCTGACTTTTTTCTCTGTGTCCTGTTCAGGTTAGCACTCTGAATCCTGGTGGATGGAGGCACCTGTTTGCCCTCTCTGTGCCTGTCCTGGGCTACTGAGGGCTACAAGTGGAAAACAAACACCAGACGTGTTTGCCCACCAACCACTCACATAGGCGCATGCTCACAACTTAGCCAAAGCCTCCATGCAGAGCACAACTCACCAATGCAAAATTTAGCTAAAAGGAAGAGATAAGAAGATTTGTAAGGAATGTCATAATGAAAAAAACGAAGCCAAATTATTGAAATATTGTTTAAGGAAATAAGGACAAGGTACATGTGGTGGCGCACACCTTTAATCCTAGCACTCAGGAAGCAGAGGCAGGGGGATCTCTGTGAGTTCCAGGCCGTCCTTGTCTACATAGTGAGTTCCAGGACAGGGCTATGTAGAGAGACCCTCTCTCAAAAAATAAAAACAAAAAAGGACAAGGCTTCTGCCTAAAGGATTAAAATGCTTCTTGCAAGACTTTAGAGTTGGAATCTGCACCCCTACAAGCCAATTTAGGGAGGGATAATGCTATCCCAATCCCAACTTCCTAAAACAGACCAAAAACCTCATCCCCTGTCCAGACATAACTCAGAGGCCTCCTGCCGTGGACTTCGTGGGAGATCAGTGCTCCAAGTCTGCAGAGAGAAATGAGCATTATAGCCCATCGCTGCTGATAGAGTTTGATGGGTTTAGAAAACTCCCCTGGAGACACCTTGCCCACCCAGCGTACTAGGGCTTCCTGGGAAAATCTTCCTGCAGAAGCCGGTCAAGGAGCAGGGGAGTCCTCTGCATCCAAACAAGGAGAGTCCAGAAACAAATACAAGAAGCCAAGAGGTTAAAATCTAGTGCCAGTCATGTGTTAGTTTCGTGTTCAGATTTTTTCCTGCCTATAGCTACGCATGCAGATTACAGAATTGCCAGCGCCAATGAACAGATTTTAAAATGTTTTTTAAAGTGATGAGATGAGAAGCCATGAGAAGAGCGAACAGAAAAGCCTGGGAAAGGCGGGCTTTGCAAAGAATAAAAAGCAATGTTTTGAAAGCAAATTCACTTAGAAACTTTAGCATGGCTAGATGGAGCTGAAAAGGGGTTGACTGCCATGGTGAAGCCCTGGAAACTGGAGGAACGTGACCTCTGAG